TTTCACAGATTTTCCTTTACACTCCAGCAGCCTATAAGCTGCAAAGTTGGGTTTGTTCCATCATGTCCCATCTGGATTTGTCTGGTTTTTCAGGGAGAGCCCCTTGCTGAAAAGTTGTGTGGTTGGCCAACAGAACACCTGCCCTGCATAAGACCAAAGGCAGTGGCTTTTCACATCTTCCACAACTAATGAAGACAATCACCTTGAAGCACACAGCAATAAGGTCAGGAAAGAAATCTGCTCCAAGGCTGTTCAACACCAGCCTTGCACCACCTCAAGGTTTAATCAGATGCTTTCTGTTTAACTACTGTACTTACAATCTGCCTGGCACAGAAGAGAGGATGGGAGATAGCAGCTAATCCAGTAGTTAAGTAATCTAGCAACCTTAGAAGGCATCCAAAAAACTACAGTAAACAATAGGAAAACACTGAAATCAATAGACAACCACCTCCAACACAGAGGCAGTATGTGGTCAGCCTCATCCTTATACTACAAAGACTACCCCAAGTAAGAGTTTATATTCCACTGGTTTATAGTACCAAGTTTTGTTTGATCAGAAGGTTACTCAAATTTGGTTTGGTAGGAGTAACAAAAGAATATTTTTGTAAGCTCTTGTTAGCTACCAAAGGCTTTAAAAAAGTCTGAATTTCATTTTGAAACAAACTTTACCCTTACAATTTTCTCTTGCCCTCAAACCACACACGTCCAATAGGCACATCCAATACCTTGCTACATCAAAAGCTTAAGCTCGAGTTTCCATGCGAATGGTTTCTTTTTACTTATTTACTGAGCCCATTCCTTCTCTTGACTCCTTTGATAAGCTCACTTCCCAGGACCCTAGTCACTTGAAGTGTCTCAGGGCTAAGCACACACACACACTCCTTTCATCCAGCACAGGTAAAGCTGACCAGACATACAGGCTGCATCAGAATCACTGTCAGACAATGAGATCTGCACACCAGTGTTTTCTGGCACAGTTCCTACACACAGCTGTGACAAGAATAAACTAAACAGCTTGCAGGACACTACAGAGTTCTAAACAGTGAAAGGCAACAGTTATGAAACATAGTCAGGTATTTGGGAAAAAGCTATGCTTTGTTATTGTCTGTGCTTCTAAGATTAAAGGCCTCTTCAGAAAGGGACTTCCTACACAAGGATTCTGATGAGAAGTCTTGTAATGACCAAACGGAAAAATTTTAGTCAAAAAGGAAATAGTGATGATTAAGGAAATTGAAAGGAAGCTTTTCTATTCATGTTTCCCCTGATGAAGTAGGGTGGTAGGCACAGGAAAGAGGAGAAGGGAATGGTACATGGGGAAAAATACCTCAAACAAGTTTAAAATAGTCTAATGAGGTTAGCAATAGTTCTAGTGTTGAGGAAAATAACTGGCAGAACTGTTTTAGTGATGTGGGCATTTATCATAAGCATCTTCAAGTTAGCAACTAATCCCATCATAAGGCTATATCCATCAAAAACAGTGTAAGTGGGGGGACTTCCATCACAACAAACTCAGTTGCTGTCACCATGGGAGCACACACTTTAAGAGTACTTCAACATGCTTGTGTTTAGAAGTCACCAGCATTCAAGAATGTATAGGAAAGTTCTGGAAGCTTAAACAATTTTAACAGCTTTTCCTATACCACAGGTGCTACATACATCTACCTCTGACAAATGGTTTGTCCTATTTTTAGGATAGATTCTCTCTTCACCTTAGTACTGTACAGATTTTTTTTATTCCCAGAATCATTCCCAAAAGCAAGATGTCAAAAAAGCTTAAGGGGGTAAAAAAGACACTGGATGCCCAAGGCAATACATGGATACCTTAAAGAAAACTGTTATGCTCTGTCACAGGCCAATTTAACAAAAGAAGTCCACACACAGAGTTAGATTTCTTCTTTACATCAAAATTTCTACAAAATAGGAGAGAATACAATGCAATACACAAGTCCATAAATGCAAGGTACAGTACAATTCACACTAATTTACAAATGGTTATTTACACTGTTGTATATACATACACAGTCAGACCTGGTCAATGCAAATTTGGTAAGTCCTTGTAAAATGCAAATCAAGAAGTGTAAATGAAGGAATTTGTAATTACGTGACAAGAGACTAGTTATCATTCTGAGATCTTTAATGCTTAGGTGACATAAGAAACTGGGCATGGATTAGCCAGATCTGACTGCAGAAATGAGAAGAAAAAAATTCACACTGTTCTGCTTTACAAAAGCAACCAGGCCACTATGGTCTATTGACTTGATGCTATTTGTGCAAGAATGCCATTGCTAATAATCCTCTTTATATTTACAATATAGGTTTAACTACAGTAAGAATCATTAATTCTGGCATTCATGCCCTTAGCTTAACATAAAGGCAACAGAGTATCTTCTTGGCAAGTCACAGTCAAAACTACTAGAGGATGTTACTAGAGCTCAGTCATTTTTGTCCTCCTTCAAATATCTTAACTTTGCTATTGAAGAGACTGAGATAAATTAACTGAAGCAAGTACATGTTTGTCTAGTTTGGTGCTCTAGTACCTAATTTACATTCAGAATGTCCTGTATTCACAGTTTCAAGCTACTTTATAATCTGCAATGCTGTTGCAAACTACTGCCTCAAACTTAGCACATCTGTAGATACTCCTTAGCAAGTGAGAATATCCAAGTGCCATTGGCTCAAATAGATGTGGAACAAGGCTCAAGGTAACTGGCATTTCATTTTGGAAAACATTTTACAGTATATGCTTGGAACTTACAAGAAATGGTTTTCATCTGCACTTATCCTGAAAGAAAGTTGATGCAAAGCAGCATTTAAGCGTGTAAAATGAATTTCAACACGCAAAATGAAAGCCTCTGCCAACACTGCAAAGTCAACCACTGTGACCTGTGATAATCCTTGTGCTTCTTCCAAGTGGCTCAGGAAAAGCTTGCAGTATTTACTATCTGCCTGAAAGTGCTTTTACGGGACTCAGTGGAACTTCAGTCCACAAGAACTGAGATTGAGCTGCACTCATAAAGAGCTTTGGTTCTGCAGAAACAAGCTTCCACTCCCTACAGTTATTGCTACTTGAGCTATACAAACAAAAATAGTACTGGAAAAAAAAAAAAAAAAAAAACAACACTAGCTCCAAACTTAAAACATACTGGTACCTGACAAGGGAACACGTTTTGCCAACCGTGGGGAAAATTAGAATCTGTCAAGTATTGGATTTCCCAAGACCAAGTGAACTTCACAGCCTTTTTCAAACACTTCACAAATACAAAGCGATGCTGCCAGAAATAAAGCCACTACTTGAAAGCAGTAGTAAGAGTTCAAAAATCTTTAACAACCTTACTTCCAAGCAGATCCTGCTGAAAAAGGGACCTACTGAGAAAACAGGGTAATATTCAACATGTCAATATCATCAACAGGGAGAAAGTACAGAAAATTAAGATCTTCAGTGCCTTCATGAGCTCTAGCAACATCCTTGATAACTGCTACAAAGGAAAATATAAATGTCTATTTTAGCTATTTGCTTCTATATAACTACCAAGAAAATCCGTCCAGTATAGTAGCCTCCAGTTAACAAATGCTAAACAAAAATGGTTATCTAATTTCAACTTACAAAGAAATCCCAGTTCTCCTGTTTGTATTAGGACTTAAAAGGTTCTGACTGAAGGAAATCAAAAACGTGGAAACGTTCAGAGATGAATATAAACAAGTTAAGGAAAAAAAAAATCCCAAACCTTGCTTTTGTAAAATAACAGAATGCCATTCAAAATGGTCTTTCAAGGTGAACATTTTTCATTCACATCAATTTCCTTTGTCCTGAATCAATCCAAGCTTTTGTAAAACACACACTTCTCTATGTGTACATATGTATACACATACACACAGCAGTGTGCCATAAAGCAAATCTGAATAAATATCTTTGCTGGAGTCTGTACAACAGACTCCCCATAGTATTTACTCTTCAGGTAAGTTTGTGTTTGCACGTGTATATGCACACACACAGGCTTTGTACATGTGGGCACTTATGTGACCAAAGTGCAAAGTTTTTCAGAGTATAATCAGCGTTGAGTCCGTGCTTTACTCATCTCCACACTGCATTGTTAGTTTCCGTTTTTCTGTTGTGGGTTTCTTCCCCTCCTGCCCCCCCACACCCTTTCAGACTTAAAGCCTTTTTTCCACACAAACTTATACATTGTTTTGTTAAGTAAACATTTTCTTTTCAATTCACATTTTGTAATCCAGACCATTCTTGGTATAATAGCTTTAAGAAATAGAACACATGTGATGATCAAAGCCCCATTGTTCAAGTCATACTCTTCCCTACTATCCTTCCAACTGGAGACTTTGAAAAGTAATTTGCTGCCATAAATTTAAAAAGAAAAACTAAACAAAACCCACAACTAAACAGACATACCAGAATCTGCAACTACAGGACCAAGCATTTAAGACTGGAATCCAAGGTTAGAAGATGACAAAGCAGAAAGATGCCAACAATACATGAACTGTAAACCCAAGTGTCTTGCTCCCCAGTGCAACATCTCTGTTCACTAGTCTCCACTTCAGTACTCCATCCTGCTAGATACCGCTGAAGCACATCAAATATAGACATCAGAATAGTGTTAAAATTTAGAATCAAGTTTCAAAAAGGAATACAGATTTGGAATAGTGGTCTTTTGCTTTAAAAGTACACTTAGACAGCAGCTTCCCCACAGAATTTAGAGATGGTACACTGCCCATCTAACACTATGACGGTACTTATCTCAAAGAATCTGACGGCCACAGAACTTTCTACATGTTTCTACAGTTTAAGAAGGAAAAATCAAAACCAGCTTGCTGGAATGGTAAATAATGTTAACTCTTATACAGAAGCAAAGTACCATCATATGGAAAGCTACCTTTTTCATTTTTAAAAAAAGGAAAAAAAAAAATAAGGATCATCTTTACCTTTTTCCCCTAGTTTCACCACACTAGTGATCTCACAAGTATTATCACTCGTTTTGCTTGTGTACATCTAGAAGTTAATATTCTCTGACCAGGTTTCCTTTAATATAAGTTAACACAACTTCAATAAAATAAGTTGTTAAACGAATCCTTTGGAACAACTTCACTGTCCGCACCCAACTTTTACAAAAACTGATGAAAGCAGCAATGGAATCATGTTAAACTTATAATAAATAATTCACATACAACATATGTTAAATTACAAAGAAGGATTAAATTGCCATTTCTACAACTTCTTATAGATCTAGCAAGTTTCTAATCCGTTTTATATCAACAGCAGTACGTATGCTCTCCATATTAAAATGAACATTGAAGAACTGTTTAGAGGCATTATTTATAAAGCAAGAACCACCAAGTGAGCATTACAGAACTTGAGCAAATGTTTTAGCTTTTTTCCAGTATCTGTTGTCAGAAAAGATTCAGGTGTTGTGTGTCCACTTGGTAAGTTGCTTCCTCTTCATTACTCAGGAAGAGTCAACGTCATGACCTCCAACTTCATTTTGAAATACTGGTTAAACCGAACAATTGCATACCTAGTCAGTGGGACAGAGAGGTGTGGAGTTAAGAGCACAGAACTCCTTCCATTGAAACAGCCAGGCTAGGTAGGACTAGTCAGGAGCCTACCTACCACAGCACCCTGTTTCCAGCATGGACCCTTAGCAGCTGCCAAATGAAGAAATTAAGAACAGAGCAACCATGCTATGGTACTTCCTCACCACAACCCCCCCAGTCCCAAGTTTCTACAGTTTGCAGAACAGATGCTGTTCTGTGATTATCAAAGAGTTGTTTTAGTGTTTTATAGTTCTTAATAGACTGTCCAACAACTTATAATTACAATTCCAGAGAAATCTGATCTCTATCATTGCAAAAATTACACTTTACCCAAAACTGACAAGTTTTTGGGTGCTACCACTTCTACTTTAACTTGTTTTTTTGTGCCATCTAGTGGTTACTAATAAGTACTTCTACTTGAGAACAACTGGTAACAACAAGAAATTCATGTGTCTCATTCACAAAGTGACACAAGCCTAGTCAACTGGCTTACTTGCACAAAAAATTCTGAAGTGGAAATTTTTACAAAGCAAAGTGATTAATTTTATCACCTTGCCCAGTCCTCAGTGGCAACAAGAAATCCTCCACTTGTTGCCAGGAAAAAACACTTTTTAAAAATGCCAAGGACACAGATCTACCTGAATGGGGACACCATCTGCCAGCTTCTCAGGAAACAGAACTTATCACTGGCATTACAAAGACTCTTTAAAAGATTAGGAATTTCCAAGACCAACACTCTAAACAAGCCTCTTTTGTACAAGAGCTCAGTTTCTTGACTCTTAGAGCTGGAAGTGTAGGTCTTGCACCTGACGTAGTACACACCACACTGACCAGCTTGGCTTTCATGCCTTTTGTCTCCCCAGCAAGAAACACTCAATGCCACATTAGTCCCCTAGTTATGTTCCTCACCTTGCTACACCAAGTATTTCAGCCTAGGGACACAATTTAAAGAACTTTCAGCAACAAAGCACACACACAGCTTTTATTGTCTTGTTTTCTCTTAATTTAAGAGTTATAGTACAATCACATAGATTAGGTCTGTTGCTCAGTCCTCAGTTTCTGGTATCTGGGTTGTTGGACTAGATGGCCCCATGGGTCCTTTTCCAGCTTTTAAGTATTCTATGATTACAGTTAGCAAGCACACTTACCCTAGAAAATCAAAGTCAATGGTGGAATATTTGGCTTGAATTAGAGCCCACAATCCCCAAAAGAAGTGGGACGCCTGAAAAAAAGTATTGGTGAAAAATTACATAAATCCAACATGTAACTCACATTGAGAAAAAAAAAGTTATACCTACCAGAGAACTCTCAAACCCCAATTGTTTTGTAAAGTTATTTGATCCCTTTTTACCAAAAGTTGTTAAACAAGTATTTTAGAATTAGTGGCAATCCAAGAAGTAAAGCCATTGGCCTCCCCTGACTCCCTACATGTTGTTTTCAAGAAAAATGTTGCATTTATGAAATAGTCATATTGTGTGTTTAACATGGTGTACATAAGTAGCCTGTTGTACATCTAACAGATGACCTGTTTCCACTGCTCTTAGTACATCTATCATTCTACATATTCAACTCTACTGCAAATAGGAAATTCCTTTTGAAACTTTGATTACAACCCCTAGGTCATAACTACTGTCACTTTCACTCCTGACAAAGCTGTGATCTGTAGATATGTAAGTGAACTCATCAGCATTTACACAAGTTCTCCTTTGTTCCAAACCTGCTTCTATTACAAGTCCAGATAAGGGATCTGGAGGTCTGTGTTCAGTTTCAGACTGAAACAATGGATTACATTAATGATATGATTGGTCTATTTCAAAAGAACAACTACATCTAATGGCCATGAGCTTAAAATGGCAACTACTCTCTGCACAAGTGAATCCTCCTTGTAGCTCTAGTTTAGATAACTCTGCCTGATAGTGAGTAGTTTGGCATTTTATACCAGTAGCCATTAACTTCAGTTCATCTTTTCTCTTAACAAAGCTTCTCACTTTAACTGACACAAGAGCATTTGGCAGTATTTGTGCCATCATGTGTGGTCCACAGGCAGGTCTTGAGCTGTTCTCTAAACAGAACTCTATCCTCCTAAGCATTAGCATGACCATAGTTTAAAACTGACAAAACAATGTTATGTGTTTTAAAACAGACCACCAGCTTCTTTAATTGATTTAACTTTCCTAAGTGAATATGACAGCCAAATTTAAAAGTAGGAATTGATAGAGGTTTTTTTTTCAGAAGAATAACAGCAAACAAGCAGGTATTTTTAAGGGCTTACTTAATAATCACCTTCCTAGAACAAGAACTGTATTTCCATACTGCAACCATTAGTTTCTGTCAGAAAACTGAATTCAGACACAGTAACAGAGATGTGCCTGGATTGGTCAAAAAGACAACTGAAATAAGGCCAAGTTGGCTTCTCAGCCTTAGTCCTCCTATGAATAATTTGGCATGTTATTCTTCATGATAAGGCAAAATAAAGCTATCTAGCTATTGGGTAAAAGGCACTTTATGTGACAGGCAATGTCACAGTAAACTATGCAAAATAAGGTCAGGGCTAGTGTGAAAAAAACAAATGTGAACCCATATCTTTAGAAATCACATGGAAATAAAGCTTGGAAAGAGACCTCTTCAAGCTACTTGTAACAGTACACATAACTGGGATCTTTAGACTCAGTGCCACATCCGTTTGACCTCTTATTCTACCTCCATGAATTACACTTTTTTTCCCTGAAGGATAAGGCACCAAAGTCAGATCAAAATGAAACACACTCCATCCTTTCAAAAAGGAAAGGACAAGGGAGTGAAGCTTTTTTATCCAAAGTCTGTGAAAGACAGATTGACAGGAAACAGCTTATACTGCACAAGATACAGAAGGAGCAGGGAGCAGACTCACAGTCAGCCCTCACACCCTAGAGGAAAGGAGAACTCCTGGGCAACCACAGGAGACTACATGGGCACTTCATTACAAAAAACTAAGTTAACCAAAAACAAATCTGAAAGCAACTCCCTGCTTGCCAAGACACTGTAGGCAAGTAAAGATTTATGGTAGTACTGAAAGACTCTAGACTGACCCAATTATCTGTGAAAATATTTTTTACATATTCTAGTTTAACAAAATTTTAGCACCTGATTTTAAAAGGCTTTAAAGCCAGACTGGTAGGGCTTTATGAAGCTCTCTCTTGCTCTTCTCTCTTCTTCCCATTAAAAGTTCAACACAGACCCACCATAGCTAAATCAGGAACTTGCCAGACCAATAAAGAGCCAATAAAAACACTCGCTAAAAGCCCATCTCATTTTCTGAATGCTCACTGTCTCACTAGAAATATTCTACAGAGAAATTTTAACACACAACATACCACAACGTTTCTAAAGAATATGCTAAGGAAGCTTTTCTTGACATGCCACAGCACTCAGAGTCCAAAACTGGCAATTGGATTTGTCCATAGAGTAGTAGGTGTCTCTATTAATATTCAACATATTCTAATCAAGTGTTTGTTATTTACCAGTGCAAACTGATTGACTTGGACATATAGAACTTCAACTTCTTTTTCACTGACTTCTGTGCCAAATCCTTTATACTCTTTGTAGGCCTCAAGGTAAGATCTCAGCCATTGTTCCTGTAATTTCCTGTTAGGATAAAGGCTGTAGTCTACCTCGTTTACTCCTAGAAAAAGAAAAATACACCTATTAGAACTTTACAGTGTCTAAAAAGACCATTAGAGACACATTACTGTACTACTTTCCCCTCCCCACCCCAACACACATGCAAAAATTCACATGGACAAAGATCAGTGCTTTTACTGTGATCTGACTTTTTATAAAGTACATGTTGGCAAGACTCTCATACATAATGAGGAGCATTCAACACAGAAGATTTATGCTGAATGTTTTCAGCCACGTATATATGATACTTGTATTCTGAGATTCAAGAAGTTTGGCTTCAAGAGAAGCATTTGTATTAGGAAACAAAAACCCTCCCAAGCCTACCAAATATGACACATTTCATAGCAAAAGGGGCTTGTATGCAACAATATCCAAAGTTGAACCCAGATGCATATACCCTGTTGTCATCAACTACGCTCAGTATTTAAGAAAAATTGGTTAGAAGTCTACCTCTCTCCTCCATAGTGTACTGGTGGAATTAGAAGTTTCATCTCCATAACAACTCTCTCCTGTTTTTCCTCCTCTACTAGAGATGCTTAGTCACAGGCCCTACAGTCTACCAGGAGTCCCAAGCCTGGACCACAGTTTACTGTACCTAGCTATCATTCGGAGAAAATCTAGGAATTCTCCTTAACTCTTATTTTATGACCACTGCAATCCCCTAGCACCTAAGCTCTTTCCTGTCAACTCAAGTTTAGCTTTAAAAAAGATAAGAAGATATTTTTACTGGATGAATAGAGAAGAGCAGAGGTGAAGTACAACTGTTCTTCACAGGGAAAAATGAAATATTTGTGCATCTAGTCTTACTCTACTTAAGAAGCTCCTTAAAGATGTAATCAGACTCCGAGAAGTCCCAGACAAAAAATAAAATGCTCTCAAATATGATTTGTAAATAGTCTGACCTGCTTTCCAAGTACTTAAACCACCAAGTATACAACTTATATTACCAAAGCATACACTTCAAATTTACATTATCCAGACTTCACATTCAGTTTGTGAAACAATGGCTGGTAGATTAAGACTCGTACTGTGCTTTGCATCTGTACTAATAATTGCGTAGGTTTTTCCTCTTGCTCCATCTTCTGAAACAACACAGCATACAGTCAAGGTTATTCCTCTCTTTAATAAAAGAGTAATTGCAACGGGCATTCAGTCAAAAAAATTGAGCTAGTTAATCTATGAATCTACCAACACCTTATTCCTAAAAATTCCACCTATCAGTCTTAGCCTCTAGCTTCTCATTTTAGACTGAAAGGCAAGTACTTAACACACATTTAAAGCCACCAAAAAAGTCACATAAGCTTGGCATTTGAAACTGTGGAACCACACAGCATGTTCTCAGTACGCATGTATGCTGAGAGATCCACCTGCAGTATTTCATTACAGTGGGCTGCCTCTGCTGTGTCCTTTCACAGACAGAAAATGTGAAAGCTCTGAGTTCAGTATTTGCATAATGCCACCAAAGCTTAGGACAGGATGTTCACATTTCTGGGTTAGCAGAGCTGTGGAGGAAGGGCATAAATAGCCTGCAAAAAGAGATGTCAACCCATTCTGATATCAGCAGATGAACAGATATACACACATACCTAGGTATACATACAGAGAAAAAGAGCACGTGCAAGAATGAGAGGAGGGGTTGTAAAATCAGTTTATTTTTACCTGCAAATTCATTGAAGTGATTTCCAATGTCATAAGCCAGGTAGTTGTACCCGGAGTACTCATAGTCTATGAACTGCACATCACCTATATAAGACACAGCAGCAGCAACATCAGAGTCCATATCAAACAAAGTCACAGCCCTAATCCTTTGGTGTCCTTTGACAGTGGGACAGGGCGAGAAGGAAACAAAACCAAAGCACAAACCCATCTTACTTGTGACCAGTTGTGTGCAATCAGACCTCCCAGGGTAAGGCTGTGAATTTTATTATAAGATATTTGCTTGAATATTCATTTAAGAAAGCTACTAAATATTTACTTAGAAGTTACAATTATCTAAACTGTGAATAACAGAATTTCAGTTTTAACTTTCACCACATGAGGGCATCCCTTACCTTCAAAATAAGTACAGTAGAGGCTCCTTTATTAGAAATAGCACATCAGCTTCCCCGACTTAAGAACAGTCCTGTTTATTCTCACACAAGTGTGCAACCACCAGCATGTGGCAAGATGTTAATACTTCCTTTAACATGCTGGTATTTCCTGCTTCCTCCAACCATTCTTACAATGCAAGACTATTCTTAATTGCTACTAGTCTTAAGAAATGTTCAGACAACCCTCAAGGCCCCTAAACCACAAAATCATGTAAGTGTTATGTAGACAAGGGCTGATAATTTGGAAACATTTGGGGCTGTTTGCTTTATGTTTACCTATAGTGAAGCTGGGGAAGATGCTTCTCTAAAGGCAATACAGCACTGAAGCTGCTCAAGACTGTCTATACCACAAAACATTTACAAGATGGATTAGGTGAAACTAGAGCTCTTGTATTTTAAGGGAAACCAGCAAAATTACTAAAAATCATCAGAAAATGAAGAAATGGGTTAGCCTAAGAGCTGTTTGCACCAGAAGGTTAAGAAGTAAAACCTTACACTTCCTACAGCTATGTTGAAATGGGTAATTTTCATAGTTGCACCCTCCTCCCTCTCTATATCTATTCTTTTGACAACTTGCTGCATATTTACTTAGAAACATATTTCTTCTATTACAATGAACAATCTTAGCATGATTTAAAACATCTTTGAGATACTAATTCTAGCTATCTGAACTCCAGGTAAAAAAAAAAATCAAGGACAATTAAGTATGCCATGTATTTCTTAGACTAAGGATTTTAAGTGTCTAATACACTGCCTCCTTAAGACTTATGGATATTGCACATGTTGAATAACAGTTTTGCCACATAAGCATCCTGACCAAGTTATCACTATTTTAAGTGTTCCTTCCTATGCAGTTCACCTTTACCATATTTGAAATACTAACACATCAATCTTTTCCAGAGGAAAAAGTCTTGTCCAAGCACTTATAATGGAAGTTAAACCCCACAACACAAAAACACTGAGTCACAATCCTGTAAATCAGTTTACCCTTCCTGTCACAGAAAGGGAGGACTGTTTTCCAAAGGTTAAGCTTTGTAGGCTGTAACAAACCAACATGAAAAAGGCCTGCACAGTGGCAAGCTCCTCCCAGGAAAGTCTTGTTGTCAAATGGAAAATTGAGGTTCTCTAGCTCTAAAGTGACAAGAACATTTACAGCAGCTGCAGCCAAGGACTTATAATATTGTCACAGATTAAGTTTTAGCCACTGCTTGACTGGCAGATTCGTATGCTTGCACTTTCCACTAGGTCTCTAGCACTACTTTTAAAAAGAAACACCTCTAAGTTACAAGCCAGTCAAAATGCACAGCCCAAACCTGGTTAATATGCTGTTACACAACTGATAGCCTGAACACCCTCCAAGCATCTAGTATTGCTTGTATTTAGCGGGTTTTTTCCTTCATTCATTACATAAAAAACATGTCAGGTAGGAGTCTGCTTGCAAAATACCAACATTAAGAAATAATTTGGTTTTCCTGTGAAAATTTTTTCTTGAACCTATGTGCTATTATGAATTTTTAACTACATCTAATATTTGAAAGTTAATTCCAGATATAAATACTATACACAATAAGAAATTGAATGTAACAAGATACAGGTGAGGTTGTTCCAGCTCTCCTATGGTGAAATGCACAGGAACAAGTGATGTGACAAACCTCCAGGCAGTGCTTAAGTAGCCTGGTGTGTGGCTCCACAAGGGGACAACAATGGCACACCTAATCTGTAGGACCTGAAGAAGATTTGGCAGATTCACATTTGGCAAGACAAAAGTTCGAAGTGAAAAATCCTGCATTTTTACTATCTTTCAGGCTCATGGCTACCATGGAACTCAAACTTAATTTTTGCATGCAGGTTCAAAATAAAGATGCACAGTTCTTTCTATGAAACTGAAAGAAAGCAACAACTTTATAAAGCTTGCCACTTCAGCTACCTTGTTTTAGAAGCGGAATAAGCTTTGCATTAGTTGTTTAAAAATCCATAGGATAGAAGCTGTTTTAAAGATTTACTGCAGTTCATATAGGAAAGCCACTTCTAAAAAATATGGTTTACATTAGTAGTTAAGCATCTAGCTTTTGTTCTGAGATTGTTAAGTACAAAAAATTGTACATCCCACTGATACCAACAGGAGACACCAGATCAATTGTATTTGCATTTTACTGAAGCAAGACAATTTAAAATGAAGCACTGTTATCTCTCTGGAGAAGTTGCTACCAACAGGAACAGGGACATCAAGAGTATTGACTGTTTCAAGAGGAAACACATTGCTTTCCTCCAGGGGTCTCCTGGTATAGACAACATGCAGTGTAATCTATGAAATCCACATCAAGTTACAAAATGAAATACATGTATTACATACACCAGAATTTTCTTTTTTTTTTTAAATAGATCAAGTTCTAAGTAAATAGGGCATGTGCTGAAATGTCCTCAGGGAACAGAAAGGTAGGAGTGTGATGACAACTCTTTCTAGCTGCTCCTCACTTTTAATGGCTTCATAAGGTAAGCACTTTCAATGTGCAAGTCCCAGCTGTAGCTAGCACAGCAGGACATTGTATCCCAGCTTCCATCCCATCCTACTCATCAGGTGAGCTACTGAGGCCCTAGAAGACAGCTTCAGTAAGGACATTGATCTATGCCATGAACATACTTGAAAATTCACAAACGGGTCATATACCCAAAGAATTTTTTTAGCTATAAATACCCAATATATTTTGAAAAAAAAAAAATTTTTAGATCAAAACCAGAAGCCTTAAACATACCTCAGTCTTCAGAAGCACTGAGCACCCACAGACTCCTACCAAAGATCATAGAAAACATTGGGTAGGCAGAGGGAACAAACAGAACAAAACTAGCCATCTACCTACACACTTCACTTCCTGGCAGGAGATTTTAACACGTTCAAAAGAGCACACAGATACAGAAAAAAAATTCTGATACTTGGCCTGACTGAATAGCAAGCATTTGAATACTCTTAAAACATCTGGTATTTTTAGAAACTCCCATGTCACATTTGAAAAAAAACCTCAAACTTTAAGAGCATCAGAACACAAGGTCTATAAATAACCAGTACCAAGCATAAAGCATTTTACTATCTCGATGTCCAAACTGTAATTAAAAGCAACATGAAGCTCTGAGTTACATCCTTCAAAGAGTAGATGACACTGATAATTATAAGCTATGTAAAGCAACCCTTGCAAATTCTCATATCCTGAGTTACTGCAAACAGACATTAACAAAACAGCAAGAGGCAGAGTTCTCAGCCACAGCATGAGCAAATCCCAACCAGATGAGTGAAACCCTATTAGATGAAGCTAGCACTCAAAATGTTATTCCAGTCTCATAAATAAGACTTAGAGTGATGAGACCAACTCTTCTTAAAAGTAGTAAGTAGCACAACTATGATTTTTTCATTCAAGTTTTAAAACTTATGAATTTAATACAGAGGACAAGTCTAAACTGAAGTACTGGGACAAGCCATGACCATTCTAACAGCCTTGGACAGGGATCCTAGAATCTGTTGGTAGTCTGTAATTAAACACACACACGAACCCAACTCTGTGCCTACCAAGTGTGCACATTAAGCATTCAAACATGATAAACACATTGATAAAACCAGTAAATTTTATTTGTGCCAGCTTCTGAAAAGCCAGAGAAACACTACCAGCTTTGCACAAGCTTTACTGAGAAACAAGTTCACCTAGAACTCAGATTCTCTCTTTTCCAGTTTAGGATCACTGAGGTCTTTTTGATACACAGAAGCCTTTCTAGGTGAAGAGCAAGTTTAGTAAGAGCACAGCATCAAAGCTGTTAACTACCTTCATACAGTTTGATGCAACTCCTAATGAAACATCTTTAAAGATTATATTTTGTCCTCTTGCAAAACTGTTTGTACAGCAATAAAAGCTTTTGCTCTGCTAAACATGTATTGCTGAAATTCTTTTTATTTACCATTAAAAGGTGAACTTCCATTTCTAAAATCAAGTTCTTTAACTTAACATTGTACTGACAGACCGACTAGTATTCTCTGCAGTGTAAAAAGCACACTACAAGGAACAGATCATGTGACAAATTTTTTTTCTCTACAGATGGCATTGAGGTTTGGTTACTAAGAAAATGGTAAAACGTCTGCAATCTGGGTAAAGCAGGTACAACAGTACACATCCAACATTCAAAGTCAGTAAGTATATTTCCTATTTCCAAGTCTTTTCCATCCCTTCAGTTGTTTACAGCTAGCCTGGAGCCAAAGCACTTTACGTACCTCCCTCCTCCCCACCCTGTCCCCAAACACTAAGCACTCACACACTAGTTACTGTAGGATTGCTAATAAGTGATGCACTGCTGGCAGTTTTTTTTCCTCCATTCTGTTTACAAAAAGAAAAGCATATAGCATTTGTTTCAAAGGTAGCAACTTCAAGCCTATGGACTGTGATAGTTAAACCTTTTAAAGGAATTCCCTAGAATTTTTTTTTTTTGTTAGCATGGTTCTACTATGAAAAGTGACTACAAAAAAAATTACTTTGCCCTTAATTGGTCTGTTCTGAAATGCTTAAACTCAAGGTGGTTTCAGCATTGAAAAACACTCACGCAGTAAAAAGATTATCTTATTTTGGTAGTGCAACATCACAAATGCAATGTGTTTGAGACCACAAGGCAACTTTTATGCCTACTTTCAGTGGTTGCTCCCATAACTTTTTACACAGAACTGTAACCATTGAAATTACATAAAATCACTGAGGTTTAGTACTTAAAATACATTCAAAATGCTGTAAAATTGAGTTAACAGCATTGTACAGGTATATATACCTAGAAGGGCTAGCAATTCCCTTCAGCAGCAGTATTACTTAGGGGGCAACTTGTATACAAACCACCAGAAGACTTTTGTTTTCTCAATTCACATGCATTCAGTGCATATCTGATGGAGAAACTAATCATACATACACAGCCAGTTTCCATACTAGAACCAACTCCAGCATGGTTTTGTTACATTTTATTTAGAACTTAATGCACATTGGCTAAAGAGACTGAAGATGGATTCTGACTGATGGAGAATACTTCAGTTCCATTCACAGTCATTTACTTCACACCCTTTTGGCTTACATGCCAACAATCTTACCATCAAACTGTCACAAACAAATATGAGGTTACTCGAATGAATGTCATCCTCAGTTCAGATGAAAATCCTGGTTTAATATGATTAATTTGCTGCACTCCACTGAGCTCAGGAATATTAAATGGGAGGAAAGTTGTGTATTTCTACTGCACAATGACCACCTCAGTGTCACAAGTTTGCCTTTGTTTCAACAACTTGTTTAATTGATTCATTTAGTAGCTGAACCTCAAACTACTAAAACTCAAGAAATAAAAGCAACTGTAGGTTTATACAGAAGTTTTTAGATTTTAAAGGCATTCTTTAATAACATGCATTATGAGTGAAATGTATGATAAAAGCAAAAAAGTAATCTTTGCTAAGACATGTAAAGCCTACATCTAAATTATGCATTTACAGAACAAATCCTTAAGATGCCTATGTACCTCAGGTAGAAAACTGAGTCACTGAATGCAGTATTAAGTATTACTAGAATACTTTATAATGAAGTGTCTTCTTACAATCACAAAGCCTGTATTATATGAGAATGTCTTCAGGTTATTTTCTATACTAGTATGATTTTTTTTCTTCCTGGAAGTCTTATACAACTGGAATAGAACATGAACAATTACATACTTCCAAAGCCTATTCATACAGGCAGGATTTGGATTAACAAATACATTAATTCATTGAAGAAAAGCAAGGAACACAAACATTCTTTCTCTGTACAGTAAGATACAGATGAGAATAAGCTAATTAAGCAACTTAGTAGTTGCACGGTTAGCACTACCATTACACTAGGTCTTGAAAGCTCAAACTGAGCTCACTTAATCAATGGCATCACTGATGTAGCAAATGCAGTTACAGCATAAATAAAGGCACTCACTACTTACTGTTTAGTTCCATACATACCTCGTTTCTTGTTGTAAATAATGTTCTTACACAATAGGTCATTGTGACAGAGTACCACTGGTGATCCTAAATTTGACAGTCTTTCCTTCATCCAGGCCATCTCTTCCTGAAGAACTTGAGGACTTGGAATGTCACTTAAAAACCTGTTCATGTGTAAGAAGTTTGAGAGTTAATATTTAGTGCTGTGTGTTCCAGACTAACTCTTTGTAATGAAGTAAGTTATTTTCCTCTGCATTCTTAATGCAGCTAATTCAATAGACCCTCTCCCAAACCAGAGCACTCTTTCCTCTGGTGCCGTGGAACAATCATTTCCTTGTGTCCTTCCAAAAAAAAAAAAAAATTCTCAAAGTTCTGTGCTGTAAACATGACAACAGTCCAAAAATCAGGAGTAGAACTTGAATAAAATCCTGCACATTTTTAAAAGGAGATTAAAAGGGTTAAAGCATCTATTTCATTCACTTCCTACTCACATCACATTACTTCCTTCAAGAATATACAACAGTAAGAATTATATCTCTCTATACAGAGGAAATGAAACATTTATTTTTAATTCCAGTCAGAGTAAAAACACTTAAGTAGCCACTTTATCTTCTAGATTTTCAATTAATTCCTCAAGTTCTCAGTTGTCTTAAAGAATTTGATGTTGTAGGAGAAAATTAAAGCAACTTTGCTAGAGCATTCTTTAGTTACAATGCAGCAATAAGGACATGGATAGGAAATTTGATGATCTTGTACAAACACTTCCAAATTATAGCTTTGTATTACAGCAAGCTTTAGATTACAGCACAGACTTTTATGTAGGTTAAACAATGTCAGGAAAGTATTTAATTAAATACCTACCTTTTATTTACTTCCTCATCTGCAAATTCTGTGGGTATGAGAGAAAAGTATTTGCCCATCTTAAACCACAGGTTAGATTTTGGGATCCATCCATTGTGTGCATGAATAGTATGGATTTTAGCAAGCTGTCTGGCAATGAGTCTGAAAAAAGTTTAAATTAATGTTATATTTCACATGTATGTGACAGGCTTTATCATATTTTTCCTAGCAACAAGAAAACTCCCATATTTAACAGAAAAATTGTAAGAAATGTAGCAGAGGAAACCAAAGAGCAGCATAGCTATAGGGTAGCATCTTTCGATGCTCATAAGGTAATTAGCAGCACTACTTGAGGGAGAGAAGGTGGAAGGCATTGGAGTCCAGTTACAGCATGCATAATTCACCTGTATTTACAGTCTACTCTTCAACTTGCTTATCTTTAGAAGAGTTCATTCAAACTAGCTGCCATTGTTATGCAAATGCATTTCGGTGCACACATGAAAAACTAAAATCTTAGGACACCAGCATTTTCTGTTCACTGCCAATAGTTTAAAAAAAAAAAACCTGTCTCTCAATGGAAGACTTTCTTGAACTTATTCACAAAAGGCATTAGAAAGAGCTAGAAATAGTTGTTTTAAACAAGTCCAGCCCTCTACAACTCCACTACATTAGATGATCTCCCTAATGGTAATGTGCAAGTGTTAAATACAAGAAGCAGAGCTCCAGTAAGTATATACTCTTCCAAGGAGGCAGCAAGGATAGTTTGTTCAGCACTGAAATACCATGGCAAGACATAGGTCAGTGAGCTGTCAAGAGTGTGAACATCAGCTTAGTGCCTGCTGAGAGAAATACTTTTCTGCCTGCTCATAAACTAAGCTGGACATCCTCGGGGCCTGACAGAACACCATACACGCATAACCACCATAATCACAAGTAATAATATAAAAAAATAGGAAGCTTACCTGAAGATCTCAGGATTGCATACATGCTCTGGATCCAGAGCTTCTCCCTGCATGAACTCGTAGCAGAGACCGTTGTTGAAGGTACAGTACAGCTGAGGTGCACAGCCATGGGCCTGCAACACACGGAAGCTCTTCACCTCCTCATCTCGGTCCACCAAGAGCTCAGTCTTGTTGCCATAGATCCTAACCAGAACCACATCATCAGTTATGTCACCCACGTAGCAGCCGATCAGCTTATTGGTGATTCCATCAGTGAACAGCTGAAATGGAGAAATAATGCAGATGCAATTCAGATCTGCACTTGCAACATGCAGAAAAAGAATGTGGGGTTACTCCTCAGTTCACAAAACACAGATGTTTACTAGATTAAGCCCTAATGTAAGATATAGGAAAATTGAAGACTGAGATTTTCAATTCTTTTTTTAAAACATTTTTACCAATAATGCAAGAAAAGAGGAAAGTGGAAAAACCTGCTACAATGGACAACAGAAATACTATGTGTAAAACACAGTAACTGAAAGCTCAGCATTGTAAAATGGGTTTCCACATAACCACTCAGAAATTGCTGGATTTAAATGGCTGAAATTAAAGCCCCAACAAGGAACAATCCTACATCAGTACAAAACCAGTCATGGATACAGACAACTTGAAAACAAAAATCACTTTGATGCACTTCAGAATTTCAGTATTTGCTGATCAGTGCACAAGTAGTAAAAGGTTCTCCTGGAGTTCTAAACTATGCCTTTCAAAAAGCAAAATCCAGGTCAAACAGTTCAAGGTTGGCAGTTTTCATCTTCCTGATAGCCTTATGGTTTCCTGAATGAGAACAATTCCTGATGTCCTTAAAATTCAAGATTCTAGCCTTCAGCCTCAAGTACCCTTCCAAATTTAAAACCTCCTGAGTAGATTCATTATCCTATTTTACTTCCTAACTGCTACATGCCATTAAAAAGACAACATTTTAAATCATCACCATTAAGAGGTATGAAAACAATTTCTAAAGCTCTGCAATTTACTTGACTTTGACCAGTTTAGTCATTGATGCCTGAACAACATGGAAATGAAGTACCTTTCCACAAAAATAAGAGCCTTATTTGAATGTTGTGTTTACATCTAACTACAACCTACTCACTGTCTACTCAGCTATGATGGGGAGGGGTTTGGAGGCAGACTGAGAAAACCTCCACTCCTTAACTGCTGCTTCATCTTTCACAGTTGATTATAAGACACCAAATCACCATTACAGAGGCTGAACTCTTGCAGATGCTACCTGACAGGCCAGACCCCAAGCTCGTGGGCTGTGTCCACCCAGTTGCATGTAGTCATGCATTTGAAATCCTGCTCAATGCCTGCAAGAGCAACAGAGCAGTTCTGAACCTCCTCCTACAATCTGGGACAGTGTTACTGGGCACTTCCAAACTCTTTGTGCTCTGTCACCTCAGACTGAACACTCCAAACTTGCTAGATGAGCACTACCAATATTAACTCCAGTTGTTAGGTGATTGAAGGACAGGCCATTAACATTCTCAGGTGACAAGCAACATCACAAGCAAGAACACCAATGTTTTCTTCTTAAGTTTAAGATTCTTCAGTAGTTAACAATTTGAAGCCAAGGTTCTCACAGCAGCTGTAATTTTAAAAAGAATAAACCTGCCCAAAAAACAAAAAACCTTTTTATAACCTTGCACTAAAAAAAAAAAAATAAGCAGCAAGAAGTAGCTTCAAGTTGGTTAACATACACAATTTAAAAATACACCATTTTCCCCTGGGCAGACATCCTGTGAGTCTAACCTAACACCTTTGTTCAGAAAGTGCTTTCATCATTAATTCTCAATTAACTCTTCTGGCATAAGCACAAGACAAAAATAGAGACACAGTCTGATCACTTTTATTAGAACTTTTTCAAAATACATAGGTCCTTGAAGCTGCAAGCAGCTTTCATTTAAAGGAAATATGAAGACCCTCTTTTGGTTTTTGTTTTTAAATTCCCGACTGCAACAGAAGTCAGCAAATCAGCTTGATATGAAACCTATTTATCAGGATTAGAATACTGCATGTTCAATGGCAACAGACTGAAATCCTTGTTTACTGTGATGTCCATTCATACATCCTCCTACGTCTTTTCCATCAAGCCCCAAGTCAGATCCAGAACAAACTGACCAATGGAGCAGCCTGTTGCATTTCAGACCTTCCATTAAACTTAATATTAAAATGAAAAGGTATGTTTATGAAAAATACATAACAGACAGCTCTCTTCAGGCACCAGCATTCCTCAGAAACACAGACAGTTGGGTGAGAGTTTTTCCTTGGGTTTGGGTTGTGGTTTTTTTTTTTTTCTTAAAGCAAAATACAATTCAGAAACTTTTATGCCCCCCACCTCTCCCCCCGACAAGTAGACTATGTTGAAAATAAAGTAATATCACTCAAACACAAGTGACAGATTACTTCAAATCTCAGATTTTTAGAGAAATTAAACATTAGGAATAAGAAAATTTGCTCCTAAAGAAAAAGAATTCTGAATTGGGGTCAAGCACCCCTGTTTAGGAAGAGACAAGACTTTCACAGGGGATGATGCTGTGTTTCAGCTGTTATGCCTGGCTTTGCTCAACACCCCTATGCCAGGAGGTGAACAAGCTAATCAGTAAGTGCAGAAGAAGACTGGGGAAGCTTCAGTTGTTACCACAAATAATGAGAAATAGCTCAAGCTCCTGAGGAAAGTGCAGCATAGCAGAGGATACAGAAGTACACCACTTCATTTGCTCATCAGTTATGCTTCTTGCAGAAGCAAGTTCAGCAAATCATATACCTTTCATCCACACAGGGTAACCATAAACTCAAACTTGCTTACAAAGCCTCCCCAGCTGACTCAATTAAGACTTTGCAATTACAGACACATTGTATAACTAGTAACTAGTATTATAACTAGTTAGTGGTTATTTTAATAAACCAGAATAGGGGAGAAGTAATGAAGAACCTTGTCTTAAACAGTCTTCATAGCAGCTACGTGTTACAATCCTAGCACAACTAGGAAAATTATTCTGTTTAGCACTAGATACCCATTTTCGCTTTAAAAAGAATACAGCTGTGCTTTTAACACTACCCTATTGCTTTGACACTTACGTAGTTGTTTTACTACTTCTGTACATAGCTACTTTATATTTTCTGTGTGTACATAAGCATATTGCTGCAACAATGCACATGCTGTATCAAGAGGATGCCATGCCTGAGCAGTGTTAACTTCAACAGGCAGTACTTAAATGTGTTTCAAGTACAGCTTGTAAATCCAAATTACACCTTTTTACAATGATATATTTATTCATAAGCTTTCCCCATGTATTGCCACAGAACTAGTTGGATCAGAAGGGACCTCCTGTGATCATCTACTTCAGCCTCCCTGCTCAAGCATGACCAGCTAGAGCCAGCTGCCCAGGACTGTGTCAAGTGAAATCTACAGGTTTCTGGAGACTCAAACTTGACTGGGCAACTTGTCCCAGTGTTTGCCCATCCTCACAGTTAAAAAAAAAAGCTAAAAAAGCTAAACTCCACCTGGACACAAAAAAAAACCCACACTTTTTTTTTGTGCTCTTTGCCTTGTCCGTCACTGGGCACTGAGAAGAGTCTGGCTCCCTTTTCCTCATTCCCTCTAATCATGTATTTCTAAATATTGATAAGATCCCTACAGGTCCTCTTTTCCAGGCCAAACAAACCCAGTTTCTCAGCATATGAAAGATGTGCCAGCACCTCAGTCACCTTCACAGCCCTTGGCTGGACTGGCTCCAAAAGTCAAGAACAGGACACATCACTCTAATATGGCAAATCAATGCAAAACTACTGATTCTTACATATTTTAGCATAAAACCAGAATGAACCCATTAAAAAGTTTAGTGCTTCACAGAAGTGATTTGTACTGAGCTGTCGATCAAACTAGAAAGTATCTTGTCTGCCATATTTAAGAGAAAAGCTCTGAAATGCAGCATTAGAAAAAGCTCTTATGCTGTCATTGCAGGGCCAAAAAGTTAAAGTTCTGTTCATCTAAGAAGGATCAAAACTAGCATGTATAGATTACTTCACAGGGGTAGTGAACTTTATCACCTTTATTGAATGGCAAAGGTAGCAAAAAAAAAAATAGGCAATAATTCCCAACTATTTCAAATCACTGGAACTTGTGCTACCATTTTCTACTTCCTAGAAATCAATCCTCCAATGAAAGCTTGCCTATCTTTCCACACAAAGTTGTACCATGAAAAAGACAAGGCTCTAAAGTCATCATAATAGTGATACCACAAAAGAACTAGACTTTAAGTAGTGCTGATGCAAAGAAACAGTAAGATTTTACTTGCTTATGGTGTTGAAGAGGAAATTCTGGCCACTGTACAGCCTGTGTTACACTGCACAGGTCTATTATCCCCTTAAAAGAGGTCTCATTAGTGTTAATAAAAAGAAATGGACAAGGAAATTGGACTCCCTCAACTGATAATTTAGGAACTCTATTTCTTATTAGCATCTATTTGTAACATGCTGCTCTGAGTAATTATTTACACCCAGGAGCATTTCAGTTATTGCTTATTAAAAAGGCAGAAGGGTTTGCTTACTTTTCTAATAACATTATTCAGAGTAGAAGATTTCCACATTACACCATGAGGAAGCATCTCTTTTACTGGTAGAAAACATTAATGTAATACTTGCTTTATTCTTTTACTCAGAAAGCCTTCACTGCATTTAAAGAATAATCTTGGAATACTTTGCCAAAAACGTAACCTGAAAATGCAGAGCAAAGCAAGAGTTTTATAACAAAAGCATCAGTAGAGGAGCATAAACAGCGGATGGACTCTTGATGACACAGGTAAAATAATCAGTAAACTCTCAAGGCCACATGGCAGAAGATGGAAGAATCCACAGAATGCTACAACAGAAAATTCTGGAAATAAATTCAAAAATACAGAGAGACAATATAAGAGCATGGTGGAATTCATTTAAAAAATACAGCAGCAAAATTCTGCTGCTTTCAATCTGCAAAGACATAATTATTGCAATACCTACTTATCACATTGTAGTAAGTATTTTTCAGTGAGGTGGCACAAAGCTAAAATTAAGTTCTGAAAACATTTCTGGAAAAGGTATTCATACCAGCCCACAATCCAGTCAGAGACATTGCTTCATGTCAAGGCTCTCTAGCTCTTGGAAACAAATAGAAAGTGTTTACTGAAATGCAAGTGAAGGTGAGAAATCTACAGATAAGCTTGAGTTACTCAAATGC